CCGCGGGCCACCCGCTGCGCGTCTGGGCTGTCCGCTGCCCGCGTGCACCCCAGACCAGGGAGACGCGGAGCAAAGCCGCAGAGCACGCGGGCAGCCCAGACGCGTCTGGGCTGTCCGCTGCCCGCATGCTCCGCCGCTTTGCTTCCTCTCCCTGGTCTGCTGGAGACCAGGGAGACGGGCCCCGTTCATAACTGCGGATCCGACATAAGTCGGATCCGCATAACTCGGGGACTGCCTGTACCATCAAGCTAGAGGACTTCTTACTCTGACTCCTGTAACCCTCATTGTACAAGGAATAAGAGAAGTTGGAGGAAGAGTACTTGATTCAAAATAAATGCTATGTAGACGCTCTCTATTTCGAAATAACCTATTTCAAAATAAGATACACAATTGACATAGCTCAATTTGCTTAGCTTATTTCGAGTTAAGCCCTGAAGTGTAGACACACCCTGAATGGTAACTGCTGATATGTTACCCTCCCATGTGACTCCATAATCTTAGCATTCTCATTTCCATTCTGCCCTTTTGCACTCTGCTTTTTAGTTAGATTATAAGATTTACTAGGTATACAATCTCTTTGTTTTGGGAAATGCCATGGATATAAAATAGTTTACATGTTTTGTATATAAACTATAAACATTTTGTATGTTTGCACATATACATAATTAATAATACAAGTTATCCCTTGTCAAATGATTGTGTTCTACTTGAGAAGAGCACAAAACCCAGAGTCAGGATTCTTGGGTTCTGTTTCTAGCTCTGCTAGCTCATTTGGTCTATGAGCTTTGTCAGGTCAATTAGTAAGGTCTAGTCTATGTTGCAGATCTATATTGATATAATTATGTCACGCAGGATACGTCTACACAGCAGCGTTATTTCAGAATAACTGACATTCTTCAGAAATAACATAATGCGTATCTACACTACAAGCCTTTATTTCGAAATAATGTCAAGCTGGAGGACTTCTTATTCCGACTCATTTCACGAGGAGTAAGGGGAATCGAAGGAAGAGTGCTCTTCCTTCCTTCTACTTCCTGCTACGTAGACAGCACCAAAAGCTGAAATAAGCAATTTCTACTTATGCTAATCCAGTGGTCCCCAACTTTTTGGGGCTGCTGGGCCGGGTGGGGGCAGGGGCGGGGTTGGGGCTGCGCATGTGCCGGGCGCCTGGGGTGCAAGAATGGCTCAGGCCGGCCCATGTCACTAGGCAGGTGCACATAAATGCCCCAGCGGGCGCCATGGCGCCCGTGGGCACCGCCTTGGGGACCACTGAGCTAATCAATTGATGTAGCTGAAGTCGCATAGCTTAATTCAACTTTAGCTCTGCTGTGTAGACGTACCCTCAGGGTTGTGAAAAATCTGTAGCCAAAGCAGCGTAGTTATACCAATGTAACAGGCACACAAGCACCCCCTCTAGACAGCACTATGTCAACAGGGGGCCTTCTTCTACTGCCGTAGCATGTATCTACATTACAGGACAAAGTCAAATTAAGATATGCAACTTCAGTTCCATTAATTGCGTAGCTGAAGTCAAAATACCTTAACTCGGCTTTTGGTGCTATCTACATTGCAGGAGGCTAAAGGAAGAACATTCTTCCTTCAACTTCCATTACTCCTTGTGAAAGCAGGGTTACCAGCATCAACCGGAGTGCCTGTTCTCGCTTTGAATTAGCGGTCTTGACTAGACCGCTAATTCAAACCTTGGAAGATCAACAGCGGCAACTTCAATCTTTCTCTGCAGTGTAGACATACTCATAGCTACCTCACAGGGAAGTGAGTAAATTAAACCAATGAGAGAGCTCTCTCTAGTCAGCGTAGGAGTGTCTTTACTTCAACACTACAGCATTTTAAGTGTAGTCCTGTCCTAAGTCTATGCCTATGACACCCATTTTCTGTTAGATAGGTCAGTATCACCTTTCCCTATCTCTCAGAGATCATGAGAAACTTGATACTTTTTGAACTCTTTGATTGAAAGATACAGGGTATATATCAGGTTTCTGAGAGGTAGCTGTGTTAGGCTATGTAGACTCTCTTTTTCGGCATATCAGACATATCCCTGAAAAGCCATCCCACGTCCAAGGAACGCCTCTTTTCCAAAAAAATTTTTGGAAAATCGAACATGCTCTTTCGCCATCCCTGTAAACTTTGTTTTATGAAGAAGAAGGATGTGTTGAAAGAGGAGTTTTTTACAAAATTTGGTGCCATGTAGATGCACCAAATTTAAGAAAAGCCTCTTCTGAAAGAAAAGCAGCAAAAGATATGTAAATTGCGGTTCACAATTTGAGTATCTTTTTCCAACTTTTCTTGGTAGTGTAGACACAGCCTTAGTCTATTTCAGCAAAACAAGAAGTCCGGTGGCACTTTAAAGACTAACAAATTTATTAGGATATTAGAGCATAAGCTCTCATGAGCTACTACTCACTTCGTCAGATGCTGAAGAGAAGAAAGAAAGATAGGAGTGTGACATTAGCACTAATTAAATCAGAGTAGATATGGTTCAAATCTAACAGTGATGAGAATGTGAGAGTACAATAGGTAATTTCCCATTCATGTAATGAGAGAGCCACTTCAGGTGTTTATTTAGATCTTGGTTCAGGGTGTCAAATTTGCTTATGAATTCCAGCTCAGCAGTTTTTCCTTGCAGTCTGTTTTTGAAGGTTTTCTTGCCTGAGGGCAGATTTAGTTGAGTGAGGCCACACAGGTATAAACCAAGGCCTGCAATCTTCTTTTCTACAAAATATTTGAGTTAAATCTTCTAGTTGGGAAGAAACTTCTCTTATATTGTAATTGGTGAGTTTAATTGGTTAACATTTACAGACTGGAATTTAAAGTGAAAAAGCATGTAGCATTATACATAATTAATATAATACTGTATAAGTGCAGAAATATTGTTAATAAAGGAATAAAACATCTGAAAAAACTATGGCAAAGGGCTTTAATTGCCGGCAAAGAAAACCAAAGAGGGTTGTTTTAAGCAGTGTCCACACAGCAGGAAGTCGAAGGAAGAACACTCTTCCTTTGACTTCCCTTACTCCTAATGAAATGAGGGTTACAGAAGTCAAAGTAAGAAGTCCATTATTTCAAAATTATTTCAAAGTAATGGGCTTACTGTGTAGACACACACTTTGTTATTTTGAAATAACTTTAGTTATTTCAAAATAACGCTGCAGTGTAGACATTGCCCAAGTGAAGTTTATGTTCCATGTTATGTCAGTCAAGCTATGTTATCATGATGACCCCTTTAACATTAAGATCTATTGATCTGTGTTGACAGTGAGGAGTGCATCGGTTTGGTGTCAATACTGTGAGAGGGAGGATGTTGTTTATCTAAAACATTTAAGATGCACAATCTTAAGAACCTTTAATAAAGCACAAAACAAAAACATCCTCATTTGAAGAGTCATTTTTAAAAAACGTGCTGCTGGATTGTTTATACTGTAATTAATATTTAGAAAAACGCCGAAGATACAGGCCAGAGTTGATGCTGGGTTATCTGAAAACAGAATGAAAACACCCAGGAAATGTAGGCTGTATTATCAACCTGCATGGTACATCTAACTTCAATAAAGTGAATATTAAAAACTAAGTTTCCCTAAATCTGAAGAGTTTGAAAACATTAGCAAGATGCTCAATAGCAGTTTCCTGAAGATTCTCAATATGGATGTTTTTATTCTGCGCAGAATGACCTGCAGTCAACCTCCTTTGTGGAAGCTTATGTCAAACCAGGTCATGCAGTGTGTTCTAATCTCTCTTTTGCTTAGGTGTCTCTGGTTGTCAATGTTGCAAGTGAGTGCGGATTTACAGACAGCCACTACAAAGCTCTACAACAGTTACAGAAACACCTTGGCCCACATCATTTTAATGTGCTGGCATTCCCATGTAATCAATTTGGGCAGCAAGAGCCAGACAGTGACAAAGAAATTGAGAGTTTTGCCCGAAAGACTTATGGTGTCTCCTTCCCTATGTTCAGCAAAACTGCAGTTACAGGTGCTGGTGCTAATGCTGCCTTCAAATATTTAATTGGTGAGTAATATCTAGAGCTGCTAGATCTAAGCAGGTAAGTTGCTGGCAGTGAATTAATCTGATCTGACAAGACTTTTATAAGGGTTATTTATAGTGCTTGTGATAGCAAATGTGTCTGTTAAGGTCATTTAAAAAAATGCCTTTGTGAAATAATCATATCTAACTCCTATCCAAATACAGATTCAGAAGATCTAGAAATACAAGTTCTGTGTACTTGAGAGTGTAGTAAATTCCCTCTCTACCTGATCACAGCATCATGACCCTGGACAGTTGTTCCCAGTTCTCGTTTCTCCACGTAGCAAACTTTCCACCAAAACATCTATGGCATGACACCTCAGGCATGTGCAGTTTCTTGGACAAGAACTGTTTTGTGGAAGAGTTCTTGCGCAAAAAGTCTTCCACAAGAGCGTGTCTACACTGGCATGTACTTTTGCACAAGAGATGTGCTTTTGTGCAAGAGCATCTATGGCAGTGTGGACGCTCTCTTGCACGAGAAAGCTCTGATGGCCATTTTAGCCATAGGGGTTTCTTGCGCAAGAAATTCATGTTGCCTGTCTACACTGCCCTCTTGCACAGGAGCTCTTGCGCAAGAGGGTTTTCCTCATGGGGAGAGGAATAACTCTTCTGGAAGAAGCCCTGTTTTCCAACGCTGTACTGTAAATTTACTTGCACAAGAACGTGCGTGCAGTGTAGACACCTGGCAAATTTTTGTGCGAGAACAGCTGTTCTTGCGCAAGAAGCCTCCAGTGTAGAGTTTAAGGCCAGAGGGGACAACCAGAGCTTCAAGTATGACCTATATAAACAATTAGAAGTCCTGTGGCACTGTATAGATTAACAGATTTATTGGAGCATAAGCTTTTGTGGGCAAAACCTACTTTGTCAGATGCACGTAATAGAAATTCCAGAGGCAGGTATAAATATACAGGCATATGAAAAGAATGGAGTACCAATCAAGAGGAAGGCCAGAGATAATGTCAATACAGTATGACCTATATATCACAGGCCACCAACACCATCCAGCACCTACAAACTAAACCCACAACCAAAATTAGACCAGTGTATTACAACTCACTGGAGACTAGACTATTCTCTGCCACAGGCAGAAAATAAGAAGGACCAAGCTACACCAGTGTCTGAGGCCCCTGCAATGACAAGGGCATGACTGAGAACTACCCAGATAATCTTGGCAACTGACCCACATCCACATGCTGCAGATGAAGGCAAAAAGCCACCTAGGCAGAGGTGAAAATAAGCCAATTCATCCCATTACGCTGCACCAGCAAGAAAGTGGCCAGAAAGGTGTATTGAAAAGACACCCACCCATCCCCCAGACCCTCCACAGAGCTGCCTCTCTTCCAGTTCCATTTATACAGCAGCAGCCCCGCAGGAGAACAGGGCTGGGTGGAGGGTAGCTGGAAGTGGGGAAAGGAGTGGGGAGGGGAAATGAGTAGGAAGGGGAAAGGAGCAGAACTCACATCTCTGTTCTTGGGCAGGACTACGGCTGTACAGATGGACCTGGAGGACAGGCAGCTCAATGGAAGGGCAGGAGGCAAGGCAGGGGCTTCTCTTCCTTTCTTCACGGGCATAGGCAGTTAGGAAAGCGGAAGAAGTGCCAACAGTTCTTCTGGGTTTTGTACCAATCTAGTCCCTCCTCTCCCCAGGTAATGTGGGATAGGGATGGGTAGGGAAGAGCCAGACTGGGAGGAGGGGCAAGTGACATGGGAGGGTCACATGCCCCCTCATAGCTGGTGTGCCCCTCCTGTACTGATAAGAAATTTATGTTGCTTTCACACTTGCTCCAAGGTCACTTCACACTCTTCCTCCTCTGGTTCACCAAGTGGGATTGCTACCACTTGTATACCACATGCAGATTGCATATCCTGTCCTTCCCAGTAGTCTACATACAGCATAAGGCTGTTATAGGTGGTATATTCACTGCTGCACAATGAAAGGACAGTTACCAGAATAAGCCTGTCAGTACACTGTGACGGGACAGTCACCTCTCATGAGTGCCTCCTGTTGGTTGAGTGCAAATCTAGACGCTCTCTCTTTGCACCCAGTCCCCTGTCAGCTGGGAACCTCACTGGGTCCCAGTCAGCTGGGTGGGTGTGTTTTAAGGGGTCCAGCTCTCCAGTCAGGTCATACACAATCAGTATGCATGGACAAAAATCCTTCCAGGGTCAGAGGTCCAAACTAGCCCCATATCCTTGTTAAAATCTTTAGCCCAGTCTCTTTGCCCAGTCCTCATCCTCTTCCAAGGTGGCTTCAAGATCAAGCCTGCACTGGTATAGAGCTGTGCCCTTTCTCCCTGGAGACTCTTTGCCTTATCAGTTCTTATTGCACTAGTTCTCCAGCAAAGTCATTCTTTCAACTCCAGCTTCCTTCCAGAGGGCAGGGAGTAACAAAGTTCAACTATAATTGGCCCTCTGCAGGCTTTTCAGCCCCATACCTAAGCCTTTTAAATTCCAGCCCTGGCACTGAGCTACTAAGCCGCTTCTCAGGGTTTTGGCCACTTTGCCAGTAGCAAGACCCAGGCCTGTCCACTACTCCAGGTCCCAACTCAGGCACACTACAAATAGCAGCTATATGCTGCTTCCTTTAATAGATGCTGCTGCTATTCTCTGGGCCATTTCCAATATGGTCCCTTCCTCTTCACCTTTACCTAGGGCTGAAGTTCTCTACTCTTCTCCTGCCTTACCAAATGCCATTTCTACCACAAACCACCTTCTGTTTCTCTCATGCGCTCCAGCAAGGAGCACCCTTCCTTACTGCTCTAGTCCCAGTCCAGAAAAGCACTGCACAGCCCCTGCAACTCCTTTTATTTGAGCTGGCTATGCTCTGATTAGCTGCTTCCCTGCAGCCTTCTAGTCAGACATGGAGGATTAACCCTGACTGCTCTTTTTCTGGGCTAGGTGGAAAGACCACCCCAGTGGGGGGCTCAAAGGGACTGGTATACCCTGTCACCTCACCTTGGCAATCTGTCTGATGCTTTGGAGATTTGGCCCAGACTTGGCAAGAAATGTAAACTTGCCCAAGATGAAGCATGCATAGCTCTGGATCTGCACTCCTCCTATCTTATTACCTCATATTATGGGCATAAACTCCTGCCCTTAATCTAAAGTGCATTCCGGAGCTTTTCCATTTCATAGAATAGAATCATAGGGTGTGTCTAGACTACATGCCTCCTTCGACGGAGGCATGTAGATTAGCCAGATCGGAAGGGGGAAATGAAGCCGCGATTAAAATAATCGCGGCTTCATTTAAATTTAAATGGCTGCCCCGATCTGCCGATCAGCTGTTTGTCGGCAGATCGGGAGAGCGGGAGAGTCTGGACGCGATGCCCCGACAAAGAAGCCTTTCTTCATCGACACAGGTAAGCCTCGTGAAACCAGGTTTACCTGTGTCGATGAAGAAAGGCTTCTTTGTCGGGGCATCGCGTCCAGACTCTCCCGATCTGCCGACAAACAGCTGATCGGCAGATCGGGGCAGCCATTTAAATTTAAATGAAGCCGCGATTATTTTAATCGCGGCTTCATTTCCCTCTCCCGATCTGGCTAATCTACATGCCTCCGTCGAAGGAGGCATGTAGTCTAGACACACCCTTAGAGGTTAGAACTATGGAAAAACCTATTAGGTCATTCACATCTACACTGTGGAGCTATTTCAGGATACCGGAAGTATCCCGAAATAACTATTCCACATCTTTGAGCAAGCCCATTATTTCGAAATATAATGGGCTTGCTATTCCATCATCCCTGTAAACTTTGTTCCATGAGGAGTAAGGGATGTTTCAGAATAGCGCTCTATTTCAAAATTCAGCCCTGTGTGGACAGTGCCAAATTTTGAAATAAGCTACACAATTTGCGTAGCTCAAATTGCATGCTTATTTCCAGCTCTGGGTGCAGTGTAGATGCACTCTCAGGGAACAATATAACCTCCAACTACTGAGGGTTAGGAAGAAACTGCGTTTAGGGGTAGGTTATTCCACTATTTTCTACTGCAGAGTTTCTGGAAGCATTCCTCTGAAGCATCTGGTAATGGCAACTATCAGAAATAGCTTAGTGAACTAGATGAACCCGTAGTCTACTCTAATATGGATGTTCCTAAACCTATCTTCCTGCCAGTGCATGATTGTTCCAAATAATATATTTTCTGTTGCTTTCTCCTGTCTATATGTCTTAAGTGATTGAACTTCTACTAGAAACCATGGTAGACTATTCCAAAGTTTAATACATCTCCTCAGAAAATCCTTCCTACTATTCAACTTTATAGTTTTCCCCCTCAATTTCATGTGCTTTCTTTTCTTAAGATGCTGATCAACATATCATACTCAAATGTCAGTAATTGGTTAATGTAGTTTTCTATCTGTATTTTCCTTTCCTACATAGAATCCACAGGAGAAGAACCAACCTGGAACTTCTGGAAATACCTGGTAGCTCCTAATGGGAAAGCAGTAAAGGCTTGGGACTCTACTGTTACTGTTGAAGAAATTAAACCTTACATTACTGAGCTTGTGAGGAAAATCATCCTGAAGAAGAAAGATGAACTGTAATTTTCAAAAGTCCCATCATATCTATTATACCTTGATTGATAATTAGGACTGTAATTTAACTGTTTGCATTCCAAAAGAGGAAAGAGAGGGACAGGAAATCATAACAACTAATTGAAGTTTAAACACGGGAAACAATAACCCAATGTGGTAAAAGGGGATTTAACTTAAACTTCTGCTATCGTTCTAAAGCAGGGGTGGGGAATAATTTTTGAAGGGGGGCCACTTCACAAATTTTGGAAGTAGTTGTGGATTGCCCCAGAAGGGGTGGGGTCTTGCACTTCAAAGCAAGGTAGGAGAAAAAAGGCCCAGCAACCTGAACCAAGCAAAGCACTGATTAAAAAGTCTATTTCAGGGGTTTTCAAACTGGAGGTCGTGACCCCTCAAGGGGTCGCAAGGTTTCTCCATGACAGGTCAGGAGCTGGCAGCCTCCATCCCCAAACCCCAGTAAATATTTGTTTTAATTTACAAAGGGGGTCACACACAGAATTGCTGTGTGAAAGGGGTCACCAATACAAAAGTTGGAGATCCATAGGTCTGTGCCTTCTGAAGCAACGACCAGCAATAAGTTCTCTGGGGATTTTGAAGAAAGTGGGGGACAAATGCTGAGCATATGTATATGCTTGTTGGTGGGGAAGATGTCAGGACCAAATGCATCTCTGGTACAACTTCAATAGAGTTTGCGGAGTTACATTCAGGATCAATTAGACCCAAGGTCTACAAGATACTTGTACATATTTTTATGGCTCAATAGGGATAGGACAGGAGGCAATGCAAGCCTCTGAAATTTAGATGAATTATAATCAAATCTGAAATATTGTTTTCCCCACACCCAAAAAAGAGTATGAATACTAGTTTCCATGCAGAGACCTTTTAACTACACACTGGTTTCTACTACCCTCTTCCTGCAGCAGACTGCTCCAAACCAACTTGACATCAACTTAGTCTTCATCCATAAACCTCATTTCTATCAGTCAATGGTCGAGCCATACATCTGAGAATCGGGAGACAAAAACCCCTAGAATAAATTTACATTGAACAACAAGCAAGGCAACAAATAAAATCTGTACAAGAAAACCAGCCCAACCCATTTTGAGCAATGGCACGTCCTAAACCAAGTGTTTCAGTCTATAGAAGTTAAAGGTATAAGAGAGGAAAACACAGAAAGAAAAATTTGCCCTTTGTAACAACTGCTTCTATTTAAATAGCAGTTGAAAGGACTTGCGCCAACCCAGCTCCCAGGCAACGAGCTAGTGGCAGGGCTGAAACTGGGAGCCCTTTCAACTGCTTCTATTTAAAGGGCTCACGCCTTTCCCACGACTGCTAATGTATTGCTTGGCAGCCACGGAGAAGGCACAAACCCTTTAAATAGAAGTAGTTGAAAGGATTCGCACTTTCCTGGCTCCCAAGCAGTGTGTTAGAGGGAGGGGCTAGGAGCTGCCACGTGAGCTGGATGAAAGAGCTAGGTGGGCCAGATCCAGCCCGCTGAGGGGCTCTTGCGAAGCACTGTTCGAAAGTGACTGAACTGAATTTGTGACTTGGAAAACAAATCTGCAGCCATTTATTTTACTATCTCAGGGTATGTCTACACTACTCTCCTAGTTCGAACTAGGAGGGTAATGTAGGCATACCGCACTTGCAAATGAAGCCCCGGATTTGAATTTCCTGGGCTTCATTTGCATAATCCCCGCTCGTTCGAACCCTGTGCCTCATTCCACGAGGAGTAATGGTAGTTCAAACTAGGAAGCCTAGTTCGAACTACCTAGTTCGTGCCGCGTGTAGCCGCGCGGCACAGGGTTCGAACGAGCGGGGATTTAAAAATGGCGGAGCCTCGCTTATGCAAATGAAGCCCGGGAAATTCAAATCCCGGGCTTCATTTGCAAGTGCGGTATGGCTACATTACCCCGCTAGTTCGAACTAGCGGGGTAGTGTAGACATACCCTCATATTATTGATGGTATTATGCAGAGCCAGTTGGTATCCCTCTAAGCAACCAGATTCAGTTCAGCTAGACTTTCCTTAGAGATACCTTACTAACAACTGCAGTTCACCTGTCAGGATTCTGACCAAGAATTTAATTTAAAAATGCAACACAAAGTAGAAGAAGGCACTTGGTGTAATTTGGACACAGTTGTAAGAGGCAGGCAAAAATAAGTTTCCTCAAAGCAGGCACATTTTAAATTATATCTGTCTGCTTAGTTATAAAGGAGAGGCACTTTTTCTGTGTGTGACATGATTAACTGTGGGGAGAAGGGCATGTGGAGGCCACATCTATAGCACTGAAATGACAGACAAACTTCCTTATAAAAAGATTCTCCATAAATTGTGTGAACTGTCTTTATATTCTTTTTTTAAAAGGTTGTGGAGTGACATTAATATAGTCTGTGTAATTTAATTTGAACATTGAGCCATATTCTTCACTGGGTAAATGCAATTAACACCATTAAAATCAATGAGCTACGGTGATTTATCCCAGATGAGAATCTAGTCCTGTTGTCAGGTTTATTTTTCAAAAGAATTGTATTGTGCTTCATATTTTGCATTTCTGGAGAAAGAACAGTACTCATTTTGAATCAGAGTTAAGGTGGTTGTGTTTTGAAATCTGCACCAAACAAATTATTTGTTTATTTCTTGGGCAATGTAAGATTAATTATGTCTTTGATTATTTGTTTTTCAGTGCTTCATTTTGATAAATGATGTGATAGCCAAATCCTCAAATATCACTGAACTTTAATTATTTTTTAACTGTAGTCCAATGAAAGACAGTAATTTTTAAATTTTTTAAAAAATGGGGTAGAATAGATTAAATTAATGGAATCAGTGGTACTGTGTAGGCTTAATGACTTATGCAGAGCCCTGCCTCATTCAAAGCACACCTTAGATGTTACACACATTTTACATAGATAAATTAGCCAAACATGCCTAGCACAGGCTACCTTCTCTCCAAAGAGTAGAGAAAAATGCTCAGAGAGATAGATACTTGTCAGAAAAAGGACTAGAATTCATATAGTTATGACACTAACACTTGCTTCATTAGGGCACAGTGGTTCCAAGCTAAGTTGTTGAACCATTCAAAACCTTCACTATCTGCTCTTAAAATACATGGCTAATAATAATGGTTTGGCCATCCTGAGTGCTGGTATAACTGAGAGCATCCTTGGAGCTGCTCTTACATTTAATCTGGTTGCCCAGATTCTGGTTCCCCTGTAGAACCTGGGAAGCACAGAACACTCATATAAATATAGAAACATGTTCCTAATGTACCTTGTCCATTTAGTAGGTGCTGGTGCTGGTTGTGTGTGAGAGAGGGGGCTTAGAGCAGTCCTGACATAAGCTATGTCTACACTATGGGGCTTTATTAGAGAAAGGTCTGCAAATTGCAATAGTTTTTTTGGAAGAGGCCTTTCCCGTCTACACTGGGCCAAATTTCGGAAAAAACTCTCTTTTGGAAGAGCCCTTCTTCCTTGTGGGAGGAGGAAGACAGGGCTTCCGAAAGAGCGCATCTGCTCTTCCGTCAAAAAAAGCGGGAAAAAATCCCATAGTTTAAACATAGCCCCAGTGTGTGCCAGCTGATGAGACTTGATGTAGTAGGATATATTATCAGGGGACTGTTTCTGCCAAAGTAGTATAAAGGGCCCTCAGTATCACCGAGAATTACATACCAGAACAGTATCAAGTAGGTGTAGCATGATAACAAAATGAAGTTCCTCAATCACTCAGTTAAGAAAATGGACTTGTATCACTGCGAGACATGAGTGCCCCCAATGCTCCCTCAGACTCTCCAATGGCTGCCAGAACTTCTGCTTCTCCCCCCAGCCTCCTCTGCCCAGGGACACAGAAGAGCTCCAGCCTGAATTGGGATGGAGATCCTGGACCTCATTGAGATATGGGGAAGGAGTCCAACTTCCAGGGTCTCCGGACCAAAGAATGCCAACACCTAAGGCAGGATCAACGCAAAGCCTGGTAGAGAAAGGCCATAGCAGGAACCTGGAACAGTGCAGGCTCAAAATAAAAGAGCTGTGCCAGGCTTATCAGAAGGCCAGGAAACTAAGCAGATGCTCTGGGACAGCACCTCACATCTGCCAGGTGGATGCCATCAGTGGAGAGGAGGCTGGTCACCTCCTCCACCATGGTCATCCCTTGTGATCCATGAGCACCTGCACCATGGAGAAGTACCCTTCCAGTTGATATACTCTGAGGCCTGGTGATCAGGGTTCAGGATGGGGATGTGTGTGCAGTGTATGGCCCTCCACACAGTTTGGAAAGCCCATGTCAGCAAAGCCGTTGAAGTTGCCATCCACATTTCCCAGAGTAATGACCCTCCGTAGAAGGACATGGTTGACGGCGTTGGATACCTGCACAAGCACAGCCCTGACCTTGGATTTCCCACCTCAACCTGGTTCCTGACAGAGTGGCAGCTGTCTGGTGTGGCAAGCTTCCAGAGGGCAATGGCCACACGCTTCTGCATGGGGATGCTGGGTCTCACTGAAGTGTCCTGTTGCCTGAGGGCAGGGGCGAGCTATTTGCAGAGTTTGAAGAAGATGGCCTTGTGCATACAGGAGTTGAATAGCCACAGCTGATCGTCCCATCCCTGCATGACGATGCGGTCCCACCAGTCCAAGCTCATCTCCCTCTGCCAGAAGTAGTGTCTCACTGTGTCTAAGAGACTGAAGGTCACGTGCAGCAGCAGACGCGCCAGGACTTAGCTGAGCAGGGTCTGCAGGCCCCTCTGGGGTTTGTGCTCATTGTCCTCATCCTGTTCCTGATGGAGCAACCTGCATGCACTCTCAACATACTGCACCATAAGGTGCAGCATAAGAGCAATGAGCATGGCACTGCTTTGCAGCAGCTCTGGCTCCATGGTGGCAGTGCTGTGTCTTCCATGTGGGCAACCAAAGCATGAGAATGTGCATGCCCACTGCATTCCTCTTCTGTCCTGCAAGGTGGTAGGGAGTAGAGGAGTGCCTTGTGAGATATGAGTTTGGAAAGCTGCTCCTGTAAGCTCCTGTTGCAGTTTGCTGGCCCAAGCCACAGGAAGAATCCACCCTCCTAGCGTGCTCCCCAGAGTGCTTCTGGGAACTCTAAGTCTGAGGCAGACTCCATTAAATGTAGGTGTGTTATTTTGGACTAATTTTGATGCATTCCCATAGTGAGGACATGCAAGTTCAAATTTGTTAAATCAGGAGTTCTCAAGTCACATTTAGTAATTTTGAAATAATCTTCTACAGGCTTAGACATGGCCTCACTGAGGTTTTAGCCTTACCCCCTCTGCCATACATACAGAAAAACTTCTGACCTGGCTTTCGAGATGCTTTAAGCCTGTGTTAGCTTACTCAAAAGTGTCAGGGGTTAGAGTCCAGAATCCACTTTAACATGGGTTGGAGCCTGCCTATTTTGTAATGAGGGCATAGTTAAAATCACTGCTGATAATCCTCCAATACCTTCCCATAGTTTTCACTCAAAAGAATACACAAGTTCTACCACAGTTGACAGGGAAAGAATCCTAGAGCACCTCAGGACAAAGAACCAAGGGGTATGCAATGCCTGTCAATCATGGGATAACTTTTTACCTTTTGTGGGGAATTGTGGGAAGGCATTGGAGTACTAGAGAATAATATAAGGCAATTATTTATAATACAAGCTCTCTCAGCCAGCATGCTCTTAAACCCCAGATGCTTTAAAACATATAATATTGCCCAGTTATAATACTGTAGATACAGTATAGCTGGTTTGTGCTACATAGTGTTTTTAAATGGTAAAACAATAAACTTTTTGCATAGAGTAAATGCTAAAAGTTCATAATTATGCCAGTGTGTTACAGTAGAATAAAGAGGTGTGGATGTACCATGATACCTCATGTCTTGTAACAGGGTAAGGGAAAGATGGTGAGGAAAAGAGAGACGCTGAAACAATCAATGGTTCCAGGACCACTAGCTGCTGCTGGTTAAGGTCAAGGATGCCTATCAGGAGCAGTGCAAGAGGATAGAAGCTGAGGCTTATTTGAGACTTGCAGAAAGGCCAGGGAACTGGAACCTGAACTGTATTTTCTATTGCATCAAGCTGACATCATCTGAGAAAATCTGACAAATGTTAAAAATAAAAATAAATAAATAAAGGATAGGAGGAATACAAGGAAACAAGCATATGTGTGGGGCAAGATAAATAAAGGTGATGGAGGACCAGACCACAACCCCAAGCAGAAGGGAAAGAATCTCTGAGCCAGCTGCAGTTGCAATTTGTGGAAATATCCAGAATCAGACACTATTGATATTAATTAATATGCTCAGTGCTACAAAACAACGAAATACATACAGCTTTAAAATACATTTGTTTGGCTGGTTGGTTTTGTTTTTTTGGTAAGTGACAAGCTTTATTATGGGTTTGGTTCATCTCTGTTACTCCAGTTTTATGCTGGGGTCATTCCATTGATGAAAACAGTAAAACACTGGTGTAAAGCTGCAATAAAGCAATGGTGAGTACGACATAATGTGACTTTGCTTGGTGGTACCTAATGCACCATTTGCAACACACTGGCACATTGCTCAACAACTGGGTGAATGTGGTCCAAAATACTGAATACATTGATATCCAATTTGTTCAAACTGACGAGTTTTATGATAAGCTACTCTTCGATCAACCATATCAAT